ATGATTTTGCATTTTTAGCTACAAGTACATTTTTTACAAATTTACTTGCAAATCATGGGCGGTGTGATTTTTGTTGGTATAATTATGTTGTAGTGTTTTTTTTTTTATGACCTCGTTTTATCTTCTCCTCCACGCAACATAGGCTTAGGCCTAATTAGTTGACTATTCATTGTTATTAAAAAGAACAGACGATTATACGATTAAATATTAACGGCATGATTTTAATCACTCAATATAGAACTGATTGTTAATCAATTCGTATTACATGCAATAGACTAATATGCTCTTTAGTATTCATAAGATTTTTTCTTCTGTACTGTATTTATAATGTGGTAGATTTGTTGACTAACATATGTCAAGGCTCTTGTCTTGTTTACTTTTTAGTGTTAACTCGCAAATAATGTCATGGCGACCAATTAACCCATAAGGCCCATGTTAAATTTCTAAAAGTTTGCATTCATGAAGGGAAAATTCCTAAGGTCCAATTTGTACCATTTCAGATTTATACCTTCCCTTGGTTGGGTACTATGACTGTGTTAAATTTCGTGCAGATCGCTTCAGCCGTTCAGGAGGAGTATTTGTAAAACAAAAGCAGGAGTGTAGTATAAGAGCTTCGCTCGCTCCGCTCAATAAGGAATTCAAATATATATTTAACTCAAAATTCCCAACAATAGGTCCCATTCCGCTTTCCACATCACTTATATAGATTTAAATATATATGTGTGTCCGTGAACACGATAACTTGAGTAATTTTTGTCCGATTTTGATGAAATTTGGTCTGAAGGTGTAAGGCGGAATAAACTTCAATGAGTTCGCGAATCAGCATGATCGGACCATGGGAGCGGGGTTTAACGGGGGATTATGGGGTGAAAATTGGTTTTTCTCATTTTTGACCCTCAAAACATAAAATTACCCAATTTCTCTCTAGACCTTCTTAAAGAGCTTAAAAAAACAAATAATTCAGTATACCAAAGTGTTTTTGTACGGTTATTGGTAACTCAAAAAATTGTAAATCCCATGTTATTCTTATGGAGAATACTAGCAGAGGACCCGCCCTTCGTCCGGGGTTGATGTATGTTTAAATGGTGCATTTTGAAATCTGACATAAAAAAAAGAGTAAAATAAGATTAAATTCCAATAAATGTACCTATCAAAAACTTTTAACTTACTAATTACATAAAAAACATTTTCAAATAAAAAACTGAAAGCTTTTACTTACTTATAAATGATAAAATCAAATATAGACAACCGATAATTTACAAAATCTGGTTAATATTACGGGTTGAATTAAATTAAACATGTGATCTTGTTTCTAAAAAGCATTGCTCACTAATCATTGATTATAAAAATATCTCATTATATACTATGTGAACAAACAAAAACATTAACACTGTTACTACTAAAACAAACAGAAACATACTTAGCCATACTATTTATAACTCCTACTATTCATGCACCAAAGGCAAGTGCATATAAAACTTAGTTTTTTATTGTTGTTTTTAAATTGAAATATTTGTACATCAGCTTAGAATTAGGAAATTTAACGTCATTCAAACAATGTTTATCTCAAGGGTCGGTTAAGTTAAGAATAACTTGGTTAAACATATACATGTAATGACCATGCTCGTAAAAATTTATTAATTATTAGAATAGATAATGAAATCTAACATCATAATTAATCTATGTGTAGTAATATGAAATTATGTGAAAAGGCAAATGGTGTGAACAATATTTCTCTCAAAATGGCAAAAATGTACAATTAATTATCTGCTTGAGAAAATAGTTTCAATTTTTAAGGTGTGTGTGCCCTACTCTAAACACATTTTGAGTGTTCAACAATGTTAAAATGATTCAAGTAAATGTGACTTTATAATAATTTCACTATTTTTTACACCAAAACCTTTCAATACAATCATTCACATTAGCGAAATTTTAAATAATTAATTAGGGTTAGATACAGCAACACACTTAGCTATACAATCTTACAATATTAGATATACAATCTCACTTATTTCAAAAACCAATAATCAATGAACCATCAAATATAAGAATAAATAAACATGTCACATGATTGTAGAGAATATTATATGCCTATTTATAAACCAGCTGTGGAATTGTGAATTAATGTGGACAGCTTGTTTACATTAGGAAGGCATAGCAAATTGCAAACATGGTATGTGTTCTCATGGCAGCCATGGAGACCAATCAATATTTACTTTTAAAATTCTCACCTTAGAACTTTTAAAGCCAAAGGGGCAAAGCCCACGGTCAGTATCGAAGTGTGAATAGTCCTATAATGGTCCTTATTATGGTAGCTATATTTTTGTAAAATGTAAGCCCAGTCAGTTCAGTAGTGTATGTGCCTATTAGTAATACACATACAGACAGACACCACTAGATTTTTATATAATAGTATAGATTGTAAAATGTTGTAGTTTGCTTGTTTATGGATATATTTTGATTGATTTTATACTATAATTATTTTACTTAAAAACACACTTTATTAGTTTCCTTGTAGCAGAAAACCTACTTACTCGTTGAACCTAATGTTATTTAAATAGATTAATTGAAAATAATTTCAGGCAAAAGGAAATTCGCTTAGACGGCAGGTTTGCTGTGGCGGGGGTATTTACCTCGATTTACTTTTGATAGCCCATCTACAGACCAAGAACTTTCTTTAGACAACCCTACCAATTTTCTACGCTCAGCCGTTCTCTCAAATCAGTGGAAACAAAATGCCTGTTTTTCTTCCATGGGAATGTAATTTTAAAGGCCACTGGGGCAGAGCCCCAAGCGAATTCACCTCGTTTCTCTTTTTATGGCTCATCTACAGACCAAGACATTTCTTTAGACACCCCTACCGAGTTGCTACGCCCAGCCGTTCTCACAAATTAGTGGAGACAAAGAAAAACAGTTTCAAATTAATATATAGACTAAGTGAAACCCGTCAAAATCAACGGTTACTTTCAAGGCTGATTCATCTAACTGTGATAAATATAAAGTTAAATTTTCAACATTTTAAACAATTTTCTTTGTTTAATGAGTACCTAATTAATAAGAGTAAAAACATTAATGACCATTGTGTAAGTTGCAAAATATGATTGATTATTCAATATACAGGGTGTTTGGTACTCAGTGTGAAAAAAAATTTTTGGTGTAAGTACAAAGTAAATGCAGTATGATGATGCATATAAAATGTCCCAAGTCTAAAAATTAGCTTCCCAAAGAATTATTTTATGTTTTTAAAAAATGACTATGTTTTTAAACTTAATACAGCTATTTCTCAATTACCTGTAAATGGATTTGAGTAGACAATGTCATTTTCGTGTTCTACATTAAATTTTGAATAAGAATAATACAAAATGACAGAGGATCAGTTGTAAAAACTCCATCGTAAATAGATTCAAAGATAAAAATTAAGATGTTTAGTAAAAATTCAAAAAACATTGGTCAATTGCATTTGTTCACACCCTGTATACAAGAAAGTGTCGGAATATGTTAAAAACTGCGCCATTTTATAAGCTTTCCAACCATATGCTACACCATTGAGCTTTCTGTCTGCTTATGTACGCTTTCATGGTTTGAAGACTACAAAGCATGGCGTCTTTATCATTTAAAACATAGAAAGTCAGCATGTATTAAGCAAAAGTTGTATTTTTGTTTCAGCTTGAACAGTAAAAACAGTAAAAAAGTTCCCTGTTTTCTGGCATTCAAACCACTAAAATAAACAAAAAAATATCTAAACCTCAATAGTGTAGCATATGGTTGGAAAGCTTATAAAATGGCGCAGTTTTTAACATATTCCGACACTTTCCTGTATACAGGGTGTGAACAAATGCAATTGACCAATGTTTTTTGCATTTTTATCAGACATCTTAATTTTTATCTTTGAATCTATTTACGATGGAGTTTTTACAACTGATCCTCTGTCATTTTGTATTATTCTTATTCAAAATTTAATGTAGAACACGAAAATGACATTGTCTACTCAAATCCATTTACAGGTAATTGAGAAATAGCTGTATTTAAAAACATAGTTATTTTTGAAAAACATAAAATAATTCTTTGGGAAGCTAATTTTTAGACTTGGGACATTTTATATGCATCATCATACTGCATTTACTTTGTACTTACACCAAAATTTTTTTTTCACACTGAGTACCAAACACCCTGTATAAAATATTATATAGAGTAAACTAATGATTTTCCCCGAGCAGAGCTCGGTCACCGGATTCAATGTAAATAGGGAATAAATGTGATATTTTTAAGGAGACATTTTAGTGTTTAAATCCAATCAGGCAAATGGAAATTCACTTAGTCTGCAGGTAATCTAGTTTCTGTTAGTTTACCCTACTCAAAGGGAGGTCTACCCTTAAGCTATGTAACCTTGTGAACCTGGCTTTTATTCTTGATCTGTTAGGGACCACATTCATATGGTTATACAGGGTCATTGACAACAAATAATGCAAATGACTTAGCAATGCTGCATTTCCAAAAAGCAAATACTACAGTACCTGAGTAGGCTACCTACTGTAAATTGGCTGTTCCATAAATTGCAACGTTAACATGCATTGTTGTTAATCAACGTAAGCTATCTTATAAAGGATGGTGTTGAGTGAACATGACCTTCCTGTCATGACAGCAGCTGCTTAAATGGTAATTACTCCTTGTGCCATTTTTTTTACAGTCAGAGTGCAGTGTTATTATTTTCCAAAATCTCACTCAGGGTCAAAAATGGGAAAAGTCAGTTTTTACCCCCATAAACCCCCATTCCCATAGTCCAATTATGCTGGGTCGCGAACTCCTTAGAATAAACGTAGGTTTAAACGTTTGTATCAAATTTCATCAAAATCGGATCATATTTGCTCGAAAGTTATCACACTAACGGACACATGACACTTGTCAATGCATTTTTGTAAATAAATTATTCTGATTCTGATTCACCAATAGAAACTGTTAAGTACATAGTATGCTCCCTCTCTCTCACAAACGGTCCATACCTGCTCTTTTGTTTGTATTCACGAATTTTGTCCAAGAACAACTGTTGAATGGGATCAGAGGCTTTCTGTAGGGCAGGTGCAGAGATTCCAATGTTGCATTTGGCAATTTTAGGCAACGCAGATTTAGTCCTGGCTAAAAGCTTAGATGCTTGCATTTCTGGAAATAATATAAAGACATTTTAAAAACAATTTTTTAACTTTTCCTGTTTTAGATGTTTAAGTTAACTTGAAACTACTCAAATTGTTTTATGTGATCCAGGTGTCCAAAATATCATACATAGCCTATATATTGGACGTAGGAATCGCTTAAAACATGTGTGTGAACAATCAATAACCATTTTCACCCAAGTTGTTTTACTGTACAAGCAGGGGTTGACACGGTGACCTACGCCTAACTTATGGCTACACTTGTTTTGTCTGTTTTGGGTTAACACTGGTTATGAAAATCATAATCGGTTTGAGAGTTGCCTCATTTGATACCTAGAAGCATCGGTCCACCATTGATGAAGTAACTTAAATTAAATTAATCAATGTAGGAAGATTGATAAGGACAATTGATTGTAGAAAGACACAATTAGCATAGGCTAACTTAGGTAGGCCTATTTAAGATTTGGCTACTCTTGCTAGAGAGCATTTAAATACTGATTTGGCAGACTGAAAAAAAATCATGCGTTCAGTACACCTGAGTGTTTTAACTTGTTGTTTAGGCTAGGTTTCTGGAAGATACCTTAAACACCCAAGTAGAGAGTGGATACAAGCCACTTGGACTTTTGAGTCTTTTCAATCAATTACCAATTATTTAAGATGGGGACGCCAGTATGTGCGTATTTTAACCCAAATACTTATGAGTGAAGGATGAGTGTAGGATGAGTGGCGCGATCTTGTAATCTTGTTAGTGACTAAGGCCGACATGTTCCTTAGACACAGCTGTTAATTAATAGCCCATACAGCTAATGGCAACTAAGGGACCTACAGTTTATATAGTGGAATCCGCACCACAGTTTTTCCTTGTAGGCCTAATTTACGAATTGGTCTAATTATCAGGATAGTACTGCGGATAGTCATAGTACTCACTAGTGCGGACGTTAATCCACACCAGGGAGCATCGCATCCACGGTGCATCCCTATAAATATCCACAATTCGTGACCTCCTCGTAGCTGGATTACAGGACGACGCCACCCGTCCCAGTAATATCTCCATGAACTAGGCCTAATTAAGATAACTTTAATGATTTTAGAAGCAAGTCCATCCCTTCAAACATGATAAGCCTGTGTTAAGTACTAACACTGTTCCAAGAAAGGAAGTATAGAAAGGACAGTAAAAGCATGCCCTCTAAACCGCTCTAAGTTAAATGTTAACTGTTGACATCAATCAGAATTAGAAACTTTTTCAATTAATATTTTTAGGATAAACTTTTTCTTGGACCCCTTTGCACTTGAAAACTCGAATGCAGTTATTGAATCGTTTCTGATAAAAGAAAAGTTTAGCAACAATTTTAGAAGTCGGCAAGGACAAAAGGGCAAACATGCTTAGCTTATACGAGCACAAATAGGCACACGATAGGGTACTTAGCCTAATCCTAACAAACTTCATATATTAAAACGGTTTCAAATATTTTGAGCTAAATAATAATTTAAAACTATTATATCTTACTGAATAGTGTTCCTTGAAGAAAAATTCAGAGAAAACTTCTTGGTAAACGATTAGGATTAGAACCTCCTGCAGCTCCAACTTTTCTTTTCACAACGGGTGGGGGGGGCTGCTGGGGCTGGGCTGCTGCGCTGTGCTGCTGCTGACTGCTGAGGCTGAGACAGAGAAAAAGAGACAGCTGATTTGACTAGCTTTTTTTGTGACTTTTCTTGTATGTACTAAAAATACCCCCGCCGCAGCAAACCTGCAGACTAAGCGAATTTCAACTTGCCTGATTACATTTTTACTCAAATATTTCCATAAATAAGACCTATTTATTCATAATTTAAATAACATTAGATTTAATAAGTGCTTAGGTTTGCTGCTACAGGGAAGGTAAAAAGTGTTTTTTGACCATACGTCAATAGTATAAGATGAAATAAATAAATTTGCCAAATTTTATCAATATACATCCATAAACAAGTAAACTACAACAGTTTTAATTTTCTCCATAAGAATAACATAGGAGTTTTTAATTACACTATTTTTTAATTTTCTCCGTTACCGTTAGGCGGTAAACAACAGCGCTTCAATCACAGAAAACGTACTACTATACTAACTATAGTTATAGTAGTACGTTTTCTGTGCTTCAATATGCTAAATTATTTATTTTGTTTAAGCTCTACAAAACGGTTTGGAAAGAAATTGCTAATTTTTTTGTTTTTAGGGTCAAAAATGGAAAAAACCCATTTTTACCCCATAAAACCCCCCATAAACCCCCGTTCCCATGGTCCGATTATGCTGGTTCGTGAACTCGTTCGAATAAACGTAGGTTTACACGTTTGTACCAAATTTCATCAAAATCGGATTATTTTTGCTCGAGCTATCGCGCGCTAACGGACACATATATATATATGAATTTGAACGGATGGTGTTTTTGGCCTCTAGGGACCTCAAAACGAAAAATTAAATCGGTCCCGGGTCCAGGTCTTACCATGAGTACTACGGTAGGCCACGGCCGTGTAGAATTGGCAACGTCGCAAGTGGTGTTGTTTAGTGACAGACGTCCCATAAGATAACATGGCAGACAGGTGACATCAGCTCATTAATTCGCACTTTATTGATTTAAACTTAAATTTACGAACATACATTTATTAAAAATATTGAAAATAAAACATACAGAATTGAAAACCGAAACAATATGAATTAAAAATCTATATCTGTACATTTTAAGCGGAGTCAATATTGTCATAGTCCAGTAACCAATCTTTCGTAATACACAAATACCATTACCTGCTTCCGAAGAAAACAGCTGTTACAACACTACTTGCGACGTTGCACTTCGAAGGCCGCGGCCTGGAGTTAAAGGCGGCCGTGAGTAGATGGAGCATGTTGGCAGCGACGTGAAGCACGGCCGACTTTAACTCCAGGCCGCGGCCTTCGAAGTGGCAACGTCGCAAGTGGTGTTGTAACAGCTGTTTAGTTTGGCAGCAGCTAATGTATTTGTGTATTTACGAAAGCTTGGATACTGGACTATGACAATATTTACCCCACTTTAAAAGTACAAAAATTGATTTTCTATTTAAATATTGTCTTTGTTTTCAATTCTAATGTTTTTTTTTCATTGTTGATGTTAGCCTCCGGATTACGTTGAATATAAAAATTGGTGTAAATACCTGCTTCTTGTAATCCAAATTGTTGCTGTTATGACGCAACTAGTTTCGACTTATCACGAAGTCATCTTCGGGCGTCCAGGGGATGTCAATTCACTTCATCAGAAGGTCGTCAATACACACATACGTTCATACACGAACATGGTCACGGTTACGAACAAAAACACAGACACGAACATTGAAACGAAAAAAGTACGATTTAACGAGTAAAAGCTAAAAATGGTAACACCGGTGAGGATTATGCGTCACGGCCGGATGGATGTAGCGTCTAGACTGCCGGTCAACGTGATCGGTTGGCGCTGTGACGTCATTCCTTTGTTCTTGTTATCAGTCAGCTGTCCCCATTCATCCCCGACTCTCTCTCAAGTACTTTAATGGCCGTGTCGTAAATATAATTAGATTGGAAGGATAGTTTGTCATTTAAAATATTATGTTTGTCAAATTTCACAGCTCGGTATATTTCAAAATCTTCAAGTGTATTTTTGTTAAAATGGTCGTTAGATATATGCAGTACGGACATGTTGCTGTCAATATTAGTGTAGTTGTGATTATCAGAAACCAGGTGTTCGGCAAAGGTTGATGTTTGAGCGGATGTTGTCTTCTTTGGGAGATGTTCTTTAAATCTTTTCTTGAAAGAGCGAGCTGTCTGGCCAATATAATACTTAGGGCAGTCGTCGCAACTGATCTTATAGACGCCAGTCTTGTCAAAAACAGGAGTTGTCGTCTGAGGCTGCTCTTTCAACCACATTCACAAAAGATAGCTGCATACAATAGCTTTGTAAACAGATTAATATCAGTGCCAATAATGAACCCAACTGACTACAATGAAGAAATAAATATTCTTAAACACATTGCTGTCGCTAATGGTTACCAGAGCATTATAATTGATAAACTGATTCTTAAACATAAACAAAAACCTCCAAAATTAAAGAGAAGAAAACATACATTTCAACAGAATTTGGTACATCTCTTAGTAGTAAATTTAAAAACATCATGGCAAAAAACAACGTCACTGTGTCCTTCAAAACTGTTAACAAACTTGGATCTTTGTTGAAAGAGCAGCCTCAGACGACAACTCCTGTTTTTGACAAGACTGGCGTCTATAAGATCAGTTGCGACGACTGCCCTAAGTATTATATTGGCCAGACAGCTGCTCGCTCTTTCAAGAAAAGATTTAAAGAACATCTCCCAAAGAAGACAACATCCGCTCAAACATCAACCTTTGCCGAACACCTGGTTTCTGATAATCACAACTATTTTGTCTTAGAAAAAGTTAGTTTACATAATTAACAACAAAAACTTTTCGGGCAAAAAAATTCTGAAAAGCTACAATTTAATTTATAATATTATATGTATCTGTATCGTATTAAAGTTTGATAAAGTTCTGGCGTTTGGTTTACAATGTACGAATTTTCAAAGTCACAAGATAGTTTCTGAAACTCTTTATATAACTCTCCTTTATATTCTGACTGGCATATTAATTTTTGTGAAAGAGCTAAAAAATATTATTTTTAGATGAATAAAAAAAATTAAACAAAGAACATTTAAACGTACTCCGTGTTTTTCTAATTATTTTAGTAACTTTTCTGTTTAGCTCCAAACTTGAGTATGTAAATTGTATTACAAGTGAGGTTTTAGCACAGAAAACGTACTACTATACCCAGAATGCCAACCGCATGGTAAAAAGCATTAAGCGGTTTGAGAGAGCTTTGCCTGTCAATCCGTAGGCAGCGCCACCAGCGTTGCTATGCTATTGCATGGCAACGCTGGTGGCGCTGCCTACGGATTGACAGGCAAAGCTCTCCCAAACCGCTTAATGCTTTTTACCATGCGGTTGGCATTCTGGGTATAGTAGTACGTTTTCTGTGCTAAAACCTCACTTGTAATACAATTTACATACTCAAGTTTGGAGCTAAACAGAAAAGTTACTAAAATAATTAGAAAAACACGGAGTACGTTTAAATGTTCTTTGTTTAATTTTTTTTATTCATCTAAAAATAATATTTTTTAGCTCTTTCACAAAAATTAATATGCCAGTCAGAATATAAAGGAGAGTTATATAAAGAGTTTCAGAAACTATCTTGTGACTTTGAAAATTCGTACATTGTAAACCAAACGCCAGAACTTTATCAAACTTTAATACGATACAGATACATATAATATTATAAATTAAATTGTAGCTTTTCAGAATTTTTTTGCCCGAAAAGTTTTTGTTGTTAATTATGTAAACTAACTTTTTCTAAGACAAAATAGTTGTGATTATCAGAAACCAGGTGTTCGGCAAAGGTTGATGTTTGAGCGGATGTTGTCTTCTTTGGGAGATGTTCTTTAAATCTTTTCTTGAAAGAGCGAGCAGCTGTCTGGCCAATATAATACTTAGGGCAGTCGTCGCAACTGATCTTATAGACGCCAGTCTTGTCAAAAACAGGAGTTGTCGTCTGAGGCTGCTCTTTCAACAAAGATCCAAGTTTGTTAACAGTTTTGAAGGACACAGTGACGTTGTTTTTTGCCATGATGTTTTTAAATTTACTACTAAGAGATGTACCAAATTCTGTTGAAATGTATGTTTTCTTCTCTTTAATTTTGGAGGTTTTTGTTTATGTTTAAGAATCAGTTTATCAATTATAATGCTCTGGTAACCATTAGCGACAGCAATGTGTTTAAGAATATTTATTTCTTCATTGTAGTCAGTTGGGTTCATTATTGGCACTGATATTAATCTGTTTACAAAGCTATTGTATGCAGCTATCTTTTGTGAATGTGGTTGAAAGAGCAGCCTCAGACGACAACTCCTGTTTTTGACAAGACTGGCGTCTATAAGATCAGTTGCGACGACTGCCCTAAGTATTATATTGGCCAGACAGCTCGCTCTTTCAAGAAAAGATTTAAAGAACATCTCCCAAAGAAGACAACATCCGCTCAAACATCAACCTTTGCCGAACACCTGGTTTCTGATAATCACAACTACACTAATATTGACAGCAACATGTCCGTACTGCATATATCTAACGACCATTTTAACAAAAATACACTTGAAGATTTTGAAATATACCGAGCTGTGAAATTTGACAAACATAATATTTTAAATGACAAACTATCCTTCCAATCTAATTATATTTACGACACGGCCATTAAAGTACTTGAGAGAGAGTCGGGGATGAATGGGGACAGCTGACTGATAACAAGAACAAAGGAATGACGTCACAGCGCCAACCGATCACGTTGACCGGCAGTCTAGACGCTACATCCATCCGGCCGTGACGCATAATCCTCACCGGTGTTACCATTTTTAGCTTTTACTCGTTAAATCGTACTTTTTTCGTTTCAATGTTCGTGTCTGTGTTTTTGTTCGTAACCGTGACCATGTTCGTGTATGAACGTATGTGTGTATTGACGACCTTCTGATGAAGTGAATTGACATCCCCTGGACGCCCGAAGATGACTTCGTGATAAGTCGAAACTAGTTGCGTCATAACAGCAACAAT